ATCCTCCGCTTTTTGTGTCTACAGTCCTGACATCTATGATAAAAACAATCAAAACATTTACATTTTTGGAGTTAAAAATGCACATAGTACAAACAGTGAAATTTTTAATTGAGTGGCATCATTTTTCTTCATCAGTGGCTGTGTGCAACCACCTTAAAACCTCCTTTGTGTGTTTATTAAAAAGATATACATTCTCTTTAATGCACTCAGAGCCTGAGTACATTCATTGATTAGAAGATTTGTTTCCCGTTAGTCACCTAATGTTGTGAACAGCTTTGCACTACCAGTTAAAACAATAGTTTAAAACGACTGACGACAAGCCAGAATGAGGCTTGATGCCTGCTGTGAGCCTCGCCTCCAGTATCGACTCACCACACATTTTATGAGTTTCATGTCGCTAGTGCTGGATTGGACTCCTTCAACAAGCTGCTGGAAATATTCCAGAGTATTTTGGTCTATATAGACATAACATCACACGGTTGCTACAGATTTGTTGACATAAATCTCCTGTTTCAACACATTCCTAAGGTGCTCTCTTTTGTTGAGATCTGGTGACTGTAGAGGCCAGTTGTGGAGTACAGTGAAATTCTTGTCATGTTCGAGAAACCAGTTTGAGATGCTTCGAGCTTTGCGACATGGTACACTATCCTGCTGGAAGCATTTGTCAAAAGATGGGATCAAAAGATGAGTTGGTACTAAGAGACTCAAAGCGTGCCAAGAAAATTTACTCCATACCATTATGCCTCCACCAACAGCCTGTACTGTTGATACGAGGCAGGACGGATCCCTGCTGTTATGCTGTTTACACCAAATTCTGACCTATCTGATCGTTGCAGCAGGAATCAAGACTCATCAGGCTACAGAACGTTTTTCCAGTCTTTCTACCAAATTTTAGCGAGAATCACTTCACTGTTTTGCTTCAGTCTTCTGTATGTGAGTGTATGCCTCACGTGCATTCATTATCTTTGCCATTAAAAACGAAAAGAATACATGGCAAGAAAACTGGAGTAGATTCCAGCCACCCCCTGACCCTGGATTGGGTAAGCAGAACAAAAATGAAAGGAAGGAGATGGTCAGAAAGATCAGAATAACAAGTGCAGGCATTTCAGAAATATTGTTAACACTTGAATAAAATTCAAACTAGAGCTGGGCGATAGAACGATAACGATATGTATCGCGATATAACTTTTACTCGATAGAGAAATTAAGCTATCGCGATAGACCTCGCCGCTCTTGTCCTCTTAAAAAAA